CTGGTGAATTTTGATAAACATTTTAAGAAGAAATTAGGTCAATTCTCTAAAATATCTTTTATAAAATACCAGAGAGAATACTTCCTAGCTCATTCTATGAAGTCTGCATTATCCTAACCAAACTAGGTGAAGAGACTACAGGGCTGAAAAATGGCAGATCAATATATCCCGTGAATATAGATGCAAAAATCCTCATCAAACATTAGTGAATCAAATCCCACAATGTATAAAAATAATTATACAACAGGACCAAATGGAATTTAATCTACCTATACAAGTCTGGCTCAATATTTCAAAATCAAAATAATTCAACATGCTAGAAAAAAAATCAAATGATCATATCAACAGATGTAAAAAAAGCAAGTGACAAAATCCAAGAGCCATTCAAGGTAAAAACCTCAATAAACTAGGAATAAAGAAAAAACATCTTCAGTTTAGTAAAAAAAAATCTACAAATAACCTATAGCTAACATTGTACTTCACTGTGAGACAATAGGTAGCTTCCCACTAAGATTAAGACAAGGAAGGTCACCTCTTATCACTTCTATTCAACATCATATTAAAAGTCCTAACTAAAACAATAAGGCAAGAAACAGAAATAAAAGCTATAAAAGAAGGAATTCTTTAAAAGATAGCTATATTTGTCACAGATGACATGACTGTCTATGAAGAAAATCTCAAAGAATCAAAAAAACCTGCTAAAATAAATCATTAAGCAAGGTTGCACATTACAAGGTTAATATACAAAAGTCAATTGTTTCCCTATATATTAGTGATAAGTAATTGGTATTTGAAATTAAGAACACAGCACCATTTACATTAACACCAACAAAATTAAATACTCAGGTATAAATCGCATAAAATATGTATCAGATCTGTAAGAACAAAATTGCAAAACTCTCATGAAGACATCAAGGAATATCTAGATAAATGGAGAGATATTCCATGTACATGGATAGGAGCATTCAATATTGTCAAAATATCAGTTCCTCCTAACTTGAGAGATTCAATACAATCTCAGTCAAAATTCCAGCATGTTACTTTGTAAATATTTACAAACTACTTTGGAGCTTACATAAAGAGGCAAAAGACCCCAAATCATCAATATGATATTGAAGGAAAAGACAAAAATTGGAAGATTGACAATGGCAGATTTCAAGACCTACTATAAAGCTCTAATAATCAAGACCGTGTGATATTTGTGACAGAACTGACCAACATATCAATGAAACAGAATAGTGAGCCCAGAAACAGACACAATCAAATACAGTCAACAGATCTTTAACAATGGATAGAGAACAAACATGTGGATACCAAGGATGGAAGGGGGAGGGGGATAACTTGAGAGATTGGGATTGACAAATTTACACTACTAATACTATGTATAAAATAGACAACTAAAGGGAATCTACTGTATAGGTCGGGGAACTCTATTCAGTGCTTTGTGGTGACCTAAATGGAAAGGAAATAAGAGGGGATATATATATATATATATATATATATATATATATATATATATATATATATATATATATCTGATTCACTCTGCTGTAGAGTAGAAACTAACACAACATTTTAAAGGATCTATACTACAATAAAATTAATTAAAAATGGAATAAGGGTAACTCAATGTTGATAGTCTTTTCAACAAATGATGTTGAACAAATGGATATCAATATGCAAAAAAAAATTTTTTAATGTCTAGATATAGATCTTATGCCTTCACAGATATTAACTAAAAATGGAGCACAGATCTAAATGCAAAACACAAAACTATTGAAAAGCTAGGAAAAAAAAAAGAAAAGCTAGAAAAATAGAGAAAATATTGGTAAGCTTGGGTTGGGTAATATTTTTAGATTTAATGCCAAAAGCACAGTCCATGGGAGAAAAAAATTGATAAGCTGGACTTGCTTAAAATTAGAAGCTTCTGCTCTCCGATGCTGTTAAGACAAGCCAAAATTAAGAAAAAAAAAACTGCAAAAGACATATGTGATAAATGACTGGTATCCAAAATATATAAAGAAATTTTGAAGTTCAACAATAAGAAAATGCACAACCCAGTTAAAAAATGGGCAAGAGACCTGAACAGACACCTCATCAAAGACAGTATATAAATGGAAAATAAGCATATGAAAAAATACTCAACATTGTACGTCATCAGGGAATTGAAATTAAAACAAGATAGCATCACATATTTCTAATACACTAGAATTCAAAACACTGACAATACCAAATCCTGGCAAGGACTGTTTCACGTCATGAGCTTTCATTCACTGCTGGAGGGAAAGTAAAATGGCACAGCCATTCTGGAAGACAGTGCGGCAGTTTCTTAGGAAAATAAACATACTCTTACATGTGATCCAGCAATTTTGCTTCGTGATATTTACCCAAATGAGTTAAAAAAACAAACAGTAGATTTATTTGTAGTTGCCACAACTTGGAGGCAAGTACGATTTCCTTCAATTGGTGAGTAGTTTAAAAAAAAAATCCTATATCCAGACAATGGAATATTACTCAGTGATAGAAAGAAATAAGCTACTGAGCCATGAAAAAACATTAAGGAAGTTTAAATGTATATTGTTAAGGCAATAAAGCCAATCTGAAAAGGCTTCAAACTGTATGACTCTAACTATACGACATTCTGGAAAAGGCAAAACTATGGAGACAGTAAAAAGATCAGTGGTTGCCAGGGGTTTAGCGGATAGGAAAGGAGGGATAAATAAGCAGAGCACAGATGATTTTTAAAGCAGTGAAACTATTCTCTATGATACTGTAATGGTAGATATATACCATTACATATTTTTAAAAAGTTATAGAATGTAAAACACAGAGTGAATGCTAATGTAAACTGAGGAATTTACTAAATAATAATGTAAAAAGTATTAGCTTATCAACTGTAACAAACATACTACACTGATGCATGATGTAAACAGCAGGGGAAACTGCTGGGGAGCTATAAAGTACATGGGATTACAGGATAACTTTATGTATTTTCCATCCACTTTTTCTGTAAACTTAAAGCTGACAAAATCTATTAATTAAACAAATGAATAAGGTTTCTAAACCCTTAAACATTACTTTCAATATCCTACTCCCTTGTTAACATGTATCAAATGTATACTCTGTCTGACTTTCAAGGATTTTGTAATCTTCTATTTAACCAATTCGGCATTATTTTAATAATTTCTAAGTGATATCTTCCATTGAAGGAATGTAGACTAGACCTCATGATCCCCATAAATAAATCATATTCATCCTGAATATTTTTTTCACTGTTGTTGTTTTTCCTTTAAAATTCTTTCATCTCCCTTCTGCTGATCTAATGATCCTACACCTTAAGATTTTTCTCTCCCATAAAAACATCCTCAAAGACAGTGAGCTTTTAGTAACCTTCTTCTCTTATTATAACTATAGTTTATACCACAAAATAAAGGACCACACTGTATCTTTACTATCGTGTTGCTGTGATTCTCATAAGTAATAGTGCTGTCAACTAGATGGTAAGTTTATTACAATTTTTATTACAGAGTGGAAGAATCTGCCATCTCAAAATATGCCACTCTGGAAGAATTAAGGGCCCATGAAAAACAGCAGGCACAAGTCTGCTCTGACTTCCCCTTTTCTTCCAGAAAGCAGAACTAAAACTCCCATGTGAACGATGCCCTTGCTACACCAGGAAGAAAGAACAGTCTCATCACCAGAGATAGGGAGTAGAGACTGAGAGAAATCTGTACAAACAGACCCTGTTAAAAGAACTCTTCTTTAGCCTCCCCACATATTTTCGGTACATTTTCACAGCTGCCTCTCTTTGTTCAACCAAGTACAAAAGCACTTAGGTTTCACTGCTTCTTCAGGTCTTCATTTCTTTATGAAGGCTCCCATGTCACATAAATCTTACATTAAAAAAATGTGTATCCTTTTATCCTGTTAATCTATCTTATGTTGGTTTAATTCAAAGGCCCAACCAAAGACACCAAAAGGGCAGAGGTAATGTTTTGTCTCCCCTACAATATCTTTCAAGTTTTACCCACAGCATTTTAGCAATTAATAGAAGCTTATAACGGAATGAGTCCTAGGATATTATTTCATCTTTTCTAGTAATCCAAGAATACCTGTATAATAATGAGTGCATCCTCCAAGAACAAGGAGAAATGACATTCTAAGATCAGGAAACACCCTTGAAAAGCTGACAATGAAATGTTTAAAGATTTCTTAAGCTACACATCAGACTTACACTTTGGAAGAGGAACCATATGTTGAAAATATAATACATGATACAAAAGATATCACTAAGTTCTATAATCTTAAGTATCTATAATCTATATACTTATAGATTATATATCTATAATCTATAAGTATCTATAATCTATACATAATCTGATGTATTAATATTAAAAAAAAAGAAGACACTAATATACTTGGGAAGGCATTGAAAACATTAAACCTCACACAGTCATGCAATACATAACATCTAGTGTCATAAGCCATAAGTGAGAAAGTTTGGTTTCTTGATTCTCAGTATCAGTACCCCCATGAGCTATCTTCATTCAAAGTTACAGTAAGAACCTTTATACTAACAAGGGGTAGATACAGTCTACCAGCTTAGAATCTCTATTTGCTGCACTACAATTTCAACAGGTTGGCAAGAGTAGGAGAATGATTGGTATTACTATTCCAAAGCATTTGCCATAAGCTGGGCTGAAGCAGAGTGGAAAGGAAAAACTCCGAGACATAAGAGAATATTATCAAAATATTATAGACTACTATATAATTATAAACTACTGGGAAATTAAGTACTCAGAAATGGCATGGTCAGGAGTACCATTCCCAAGCTTGAGAAGCTCCGATTACACATCAGTCTTTTCAATCACAGAAAGATGGCAACCATCAATGTGTTGCTATAAACATGAAGACTAATTAATAGCAAATTTTCACACAAGATATTATTATTAATAACAAATTTAACATAGTCTGGCTTAAATTTTTAATGGGATACTTACCTTGCAGAACTTGACTTCTGCCTCTAAATGATAAATGTACTGAGACTGGTCATTGATGATAGGAACAAGATTGTGGACAGTAGGCATATTGGTTTCCTCACATTCTGATGACCTCTAAGGCAAAAATGAAAACAAATGAAGCATGTTTGGATTAGCAAAGAATCAGTTAATACCATCTCCATACTCAATTTAGCACTTATGTCATATAAACATAGAATAAACATAAACTAAATCACAGTGCAGCTAACAGTATTATTTCATCTTATAAACTCTATAAATAGATAAGATTCAGGAATATGAAAACTATTTTTTAAAGAGGGAAAAGGAAAATGGTTGTAAAAAGCACACAGCAAATGGAAAAATGCTCGAGTAGTATAATTTGGCTCGGTATGAACCACCCATTTGAGCCATCTGGAAATGTGACGTGCTATTCAGTAATTCTCAGATAAAGGGAGAGCTTTTTAAGAAATCAACATAGAAGAGGGCTGCTAGCTAAAACCGCAGAACAGCTGCCTGAAGAAGGGATCCTTTAGACAAGTGTCTGATGCCAAATGTGTGTCACTGAGGTAAAATTTTATCTACAAAGAAGTACATTAGCAAAACCTGGTTTTTTTAGTTTTGACCCTAATACTTAAGGCAATTGGAGACTATGCTGTTCTGGAGCCTCCAGGACTAGAGTGCTAAAGCAGATATACATGAAACTGAGACATTGCATTGAGGACTTTAGGAAAAAAAACGTTAATTCTCCTGACTTTTGCAGCAGTCCTGTAATTGATTTTTAATATCCATCTTACCTTATCCTAAAATGATTGTAAAATGGTTTGTAAATCATATATCATCCACTCCAGTATTCTTGCCTGGAGAATACAATGGACAGAAGAGCCTGGTGGGCCACAGTCCATGGGGTCGCAAACAGTGAGACACGACTGAGTGGCTAACACTACTACCATGATATGATTTAAAGAAAAGAGGGTTAGGAAAAGGGAAAATGAAAGTCTACCAGTTAGATGAATCCAGAGGAAAGTTTGAGGTGAGACACACAATCATTTTGTTTTTCAACACAGCAGAAATTCCTATAAATGATGAAGTACCAGCTCTCATGGCAGAATAATTAAGTAGAGCTTTTGCTTCTGGCCACATTTAATAAATTTAAAACCAAAAGACATGTTAATTAAATGAATTATCTGTGATAAGTAGAAAGCAACTAATTATAATAATTAATATTAATAGAAAGGGGTTCGGTGCATAGGCAAATATAAATTATTACTATGTGTATACATAGGGCAAAATCAATGTGAAAATTAAAAACAAGCTAGTATCATGTGGAAAATGTTCATATAAAATCACTTGTATGTTTATCATAGTTTGACTGTCCATATTTTAAAATAATAAGTAATAATGTTTAGACATATTTTCTACCTCAGCACTGCCTCATTTCACTCTTAATACAGCCACATATTTCTCATATGTCATATTGGCTATGAAACTGCATTCTAAGGGGTACAGTCTTCAAAAGCTACTTATTATTATAGCTTGTAATCATCATATGTAGGTTGTATACATTTAGAGTCTAAGTTCCATTCTTTCACATAGAGCCAATATAAATAGACCTGTGTATTGGCATATACTGTATATATTGAACTGATCATCTTGATGAGTCTTCTTACTTACCTAAAGTCAATCAGTTTTGCAATATCACTGCTCAGTAATATCTTAAAAATGCTAAGAAGCATGTCTGAGCATTCAACAGATAAAGAAACTTAATCTACTAGACTTAAAGGAACTCTATCCATATGTGTTTAGGAGCATTCTAGAAACTAGGCGTAAACAGTAATAAATTCACTGAATAATGAAATATTTTATCAAAATTACAGTTTATATCTATAAATATTGAATAGGAACATGTAATCCATTTCTCTAAAGTGGGAATTAAGCATGAAAGTCTGTGTCAGGCTGGAATGAAGTGTTAATATGGGGGTACTCTTAGGACATTTTAGCTGTGAGTAATGGAAACTGACATGTCTTGAAGTTTTCAGCATGCAGCCTGGGTATCCAACAGTCACAGACATTGAAAATGCAAGGTGGTTATTGTTGCCATGGCATTTTATATTTGTGCCATATTTCATAGGTTTCCAAAGAATTTTAAATATGTGATCTTACCTTATTACTATAAAAACCCTGTGAGAGAGTACATGATAGACCCTAGATCACCCTAAAGCATAGACTATTGTTTTGACCATTTAAACCTGGCCAAATTCTTACTTCATAGTACCCTTTCTCTACAGAACGCTTCCCTCCCACCGACCTTCTCCTCACATATACCCTTCCCTCACAGTACTCTCCCTCACTCTCACCCTTCCTTCACACCTATCTCAGGCTTTATATCACACTGCTTCAGTCAGAAATAATATGCTCCATTAAAGCAATAGCAGTAGAAAACAGCTGCAGAAGAAATAGAGTACAGTTTCTCATATCACACAATTTTATAACTATATATTTTTTAATGTAGAAAAAGATTACATGCTTCAAATTTAACATTTAACATAAACAAAGGACAGCCAGAATTAGAAAGTAAATTCTAAAAATAATAAAAATACAGATATGCCCCTCTATAAAAGCAATGGTTAGGGACTTGGTGGTCCAGTGGTTAAGAATCCACCTTTCTTTCTTTTTTTAACTATTTATTTTTAAAATGTATTTATTTATTTTAATTGAAGGATAATTACTTTACAATACTGTGATGGCTTCTGCCATACATCAACATGAATCAGCCATAGGTATACATATGTTCCCCGCATCCTGAAACCCCCTCCCACCTCCCTCACCATCCCCACTCCTCCAGGTCGTCACAGAACACCAGCCCTGGGGGCTCCGCTTCATGCATCCAACTGGCACTGGTCATCCATTCTACATATGGCATATGGTAATGTACACATTTCAATGCTATTCTCTCAAATCATCCCACCTTCTTCTTCTCTCACTGAGCCCAGAAATCTGTTTTTTACGTCTGTGTCTCCTTTGCTGCCCTGTATGTAGGATCGTTGGTACCATTCTTCTAGAAGAATCTGCCTTTCAATACAAGGGATGCTGGTTCGATCCCCGGAAGGGGAACTAAGATCCCAAATGGCCCTGGGCAGCTAAGCCCACAAGCCACAAGCACTGAGCCCTCACCTGCCACAACTAGAAAGAAGCTTGCATACCGAATGAAAGATCCTGCTTACTACAACAAAGACTTTGCGTGCCACAGCTAAGACCCGAAGCAGCCAAAAATAAATGAGTAATAATAATAATAAATACTAAAAAAAAGCAATGGTTACTCTTTCTCATATATTGTTCCTTTAAAAAAAAATATTTGCTAACAGTTGCAAAGTAAATTCTCCAAACTATTTCCTCACTCACATTTTTCAAGTGAATAATAAATTAAAAAATCAGAATCCCCTCTTCCATGGAAGTCTCTTCTTCGGTCAAAATAATTATCAGAGGGAAGATCATTTCTTTTAACACTTTCTACTATTAGCATGTCCAGCTCAGAATCTGTTTAACACATGTACTACTAAAATGACACACAAAATTAAAACATAGTTAGAAAAATAATGCTTTTGTTAGGTTGTAGACGGTGATACTTACCAAAGAGGATGTTTCTTGTCTTCCTAGAGATACCTCACTTTCCTTGGTTGCTTGTTGGCGCAACAAAGCTTTGAGTTGGTTAACTATGGAGCAAAAGCAATAGGTTTATTCATCTTATTTTAAATCCATAGTTTATCATCACCTATCTATCCTTCTATCAATCTAACAAATATTTGTGTATTATGCATCACAAAATGTGCTATTGACAGACACAAAAACAAACATAAGAAAATCTCTATCATTTAAGAGGTAAGAATCCACTGAGCAAGAGGTATATAACTAACAGATATAAAACAAGATTATAAGCTCTAAATCTACCTATAAGAAGCTCTAGGTCTGCCTGTAATGCTGTAAGAAGAGGAAGCACGTAACTGTGCCTGTTTTCACAGAGAAGAGAGTGTGAAGAATGTACAGGAGATCACATGCAGAAAAGGGTGAGAAAAAACCAGTTTGAACACATGGCTCATGCAAAGCAAAGAAGCACGGCCATAGGGTGGCATGAGTAGAACATGGCTTGCAAGACGAATAGTTGAAAGGAAGATAGAAAAATGAGGCTGGAGAGGCAGCTTGGAATTACCTTAAGAAAACACTGCTTTGACATCCTATAGGCATAGGGAAGTCAAAGGGAAAAAAAAAGCAACGGAACTAGATTAGCTGCTTTGTGTTTCTTGACTAAAATCCTAGCAGCAGAGGACAGGCTGGCGTCGTTACTATATGGAGTTTAAAGAATTCACTGTGTGTCATTCACGTTAGGACTGACATTCACACTCACCGGCATGGCTGTGTTGTAGTTCACGCCAGGCATTTCCAGCATCCTCATTTCCTACACTGGTATTAAAAGAAGGATCCAGCATATCTTCTCCAACGGTGACATCACCTTCTCTCAGGGTACATTTCAACTGGTGAATGCTTCTATTTGCACGTTCTGCAATACCATGATGAAAATCAGAGCCAGTGAAATCTGGGTGACCAAATGAACATGGACCTGAGAAGACAATTTCTAAAGGAAAAGCAATCATTTCTGATACTTCATGGGAGAAAAAAAAGCATAGCTTTGCTTCTAGCTTACTAAGGAACATGCCAGAGGAAATGTGAGATTAAGTTCATGGGGCAGATGTTAGACTTAATGATCTCTAAGCTCCCGGACACCACTGTGATTGGCATTCACTGTATATAGCTCTATTGCCAAGGAGGACTGAATGGAAGAGCTTTTCCCCTCTTCACTCTCCCAAACAATAATCTCACAGGGGAGGCAATATCCTGACTCCTCAGTGCCTAAGACTCCCCTACACCTTTTGGCATGGTGTGGATAGGCAAGACTGGCAAGAGGGATTCCACCACATCAAGTTCCTACCCAAAGAAGCCTCCTTGTCCCTGTGGGCCACATGGCCCTCTAGCATCAAGACAGCTGACCACCTGGCCTAGTTCTGACCAAGATTTGAATAGTTGACGTGCTTAGAGTGGTATAGTTGTACTTATATACTGTACTTAGTATAGTTGTACTTATATACTACTGGCTGACTACATCTTACGTAGAAATTCTCGGTTACTATGCCTGATTACTCTTAGAATTGAAGTTTAAACTTATTACCACATACTAAACATAGTCTAAAATTAAGTATTTTAAGGTATATTACTCTAGTAGTTCATCCCTAAAAACAGACCCAAAGAACTCAGCCTTACATCCTTGTGCTCTCCCAAATTGAAACTTAGTGGACCTGTAACCTACACTCAAAAAGAGAATGCACTGGAACGCACATGACGCCTGACTCGTCACATCTTTAAAATGTTCGGTAGACAAAAACCACTACAATATTGTAAAGTAATTAGCCTCCAACTAATAAAAATAAAAGGAAAAAAAAATGTTCGTTACCTTCTGCTTCTACCCTCTTGGAATGTTGGTTTTTGTGAGCCCCGAGCCACTAAGTAGGAAGTCTGGCTACCCTGCTAGAGAGACTCTGAAGAGGCCATGTGGAAAGGAGAGGCTCTGAGATCACCACAAGGAGAAAGAAGAATCCCAACCCCACTAACAGTCTGGCAGTCTCCTGGTGACTCCAGCGCCAGAGGTCATCTACCCACGATGCATGAGAGAGACTTGAAAACTGCCCAGCTGCAGTCTGGTAAAACCACAGATCTGTGAGAGACACTAAAAACGCTTTTGGTTGTTGGTTTCTGCCATCAGGCTTTAGAGTGACTTGTGTGTGTGTGTGCACGCGCTTAATTGCTCAGTCATGTCCAACTCTTTGCAATCCCATGGACTGTAGCCTGCCAGGCTCCTCTGTCCATGGGAATTCTCTGGGCAAGAATACTGGAGTGGGTTGTGCTTGTTAAGCAACAAAAGGTAACTGAAATAATTATTCAGTGAAATACTCACCCAAAAACACCTTTAGCAAAGCATCCAAGTCCTACATTAATAACAGAACTATATACTAATATAGTAGTGATACTGGGCATGTGAGCTCAGTCGCTACAGTCGTGTCTTTTTCGTGACCCTATGGACCATAGCTCTCCAGGGTCCTCTGTCCATGGGATTCTCCAGGCAAGAATACCGGAGTGGGTTGCCATGCCCTCCTCCAGGGGATCTTCCCCACCCAAGATCATACTTGCATCTACTGCATTGCAGGCAGATTCTTTACATCTGAGCCACTGCAGATGCCCCAGTAATGATACTACATTATATGTTAATATAATATACTAATTACTATATATATATATATATATACTATATATAATATAGTATACTATAGTATACTAATGACACTAGACATGACATTACTAATAACTCTATCCTGTTTTATGGATTTTTTTACATGTATGACAACTGGAGAATCAGATAATTGATGGGTAATTTCATTAGTTAAAGACCAGATACTTTTTCAGGTTTAAACTTGTTACTTTTGCTAATCTCTTATAATTAATTCTCCAGTTTCAATCTAGAAACATTAACTGTAACAAAAAATGTTCCTTTTACATTAGAGCTGAGACCCAGGTTTCAGTCATCATTTTTAAATGCTGACATCTGTATTTGAAAGTTATCTTTAATTCATTTATTTATTAAATATTTATATATAGCTAACATAGAAATTTATGTTAGAAAAAGATGAATTCCCATGCAAATTCATGTACAGCTATTATCTATCTCAAATGGATTCCATCAAAAGAATTCTTAACATCTTCAGAGGAGAAATTTTTCTAAGTAAAATCTTTCCCTAATTCAGAGCAATGCATAACAATAACACCAATGAAGTTCTTTCTTCTGATCTAGGCCCTTTCTTGACAAGTTAGATCTACTTCTGTATTCAGGAGAAAAAGCTCCTCATCTTTAATACCTACAAGAGAACCCTAAGAAAGCTATAAAAATGAAAAAGCTTTTCATTACCAATCATGGATGAAAATATATTTACAAATATATAGTCTACAGGACCTTGAAAAATACATTCTATTTCCTTTAAGCTCATTAATTTGAATGTGTGAAACAGACAAAATATCATAACTTAATAGAAAAAAATATTCTCTATCTTACAAAATCTCTAATATAGGTCCTTCACTTACAGCAACTCATTTTCCCCTTGAGTAAATTAACAAAAATAGGTCTTTTAGGTCAGGGTTCAGTAATCTACACAAGAGACCCAATAAATTTATCTCTGCAATTTTCTCCACACCAATCCTATTTCCACACAGACCTTTCTCTGACTGGAATTTGGTACTGATAACTAACCAAGCCTGGCCTCCTTTTATACCTCATGAGTTTTGAAAAGTCTAGATAAGACGCATTCCTGGTTTCAGTAAAATGAGAAGCAGCAATAGTTTTTTTTTTTTTTTTTTTTTTACTAACTCAGTATTTTCTAAAGAGATTTGTTAAAGGATAAGGAAAAATCGAAGTGTTACATGATAAGCAATTTAGTTCACACAGTTTTGGACTTATGCACTGATACCTATGAATAAGGCACTTATCTTTACTGCATCCATTAAAAGGAAACAAAGGGTTTGAATTACACTAAAAGTAGGCTCTGTGGAGCCATCAAATGACTTCATCTATAAGACAAAGGATAATTACTTATTTATACCTAACCTGACTAAAAGCTAACAAGCTATATTAAGAAAAGGAAAGGAAATTGAAAAAAAATGTATAATTGAAAATTCCTACAGGTAGAGTTCTTTCATTAGCTTACAATAATGGGAGAGTTTTATGAGGCCATTTAATCCCTTTCCTGATATCCCTGTTTAATCTTTTAGAATTTTTATCATTTAAAGACTATGTGTTAAACTCTACTATGAAAATAGTATTATGTGAAATACTAATATATTGAACTCAACAGCCATCCCACTTTTCTTAGTGATTATACAAGGTCTGGGGTTTTTTTTGCAATGAATGACTTCAGTTGCTAGGGTCAGAGAAGAGAAGGAATTTGCAAGAACTGTATCCTGAAACTAAAACTAAGGAGGTAAGTGATATTTTAAAGTCATTCCAAGACTACATTTTAAAACATGCTAAACGCTTTTCAAATATATACATATGAACATAATTATATACACTGCAACAGACAAACAGAATTAATCCCTTGGAATAACAACACTCAGATCTTTGAAGACAGACGAAACCCCATTGCTTTTCAACTGGAGCCATTGCAACTGGTCTCATAATCCTTATTAAGAACCCTACTCTCCAGATGCCATTAACTGCTGCTTCTTGTTGTTTAGTTACTAAGTCATTTCCGACTCTTTTGCAACCCCTTGGACAGTAGCCTGCCATGTTCCTGAGGATGGGATTTCCCAGGGAAAAAGAGTGGAGTGGGTTGCCATGTCCTTCACCAGGGAATCTTCCTGATCCAAAGATAGAACCTGCATCTTCTGCATTGGCAGGCACATTCTTTACCACTGAGCCACCAGGGAAGCCCTAACCCCATTCTGCTTACATGTAAGGAAACCAGATTAGATAGGAGGTTCCAGTTAGGGTTTCCCATCCCACTGTTAATGGGCATAGCTTTATCCTCAAGAGTGGGGAAGAATACTCAGTTCCTCTTCTCTCCTGAGAGGATAGTAACAGATTTCACAATACATCCTGATTTCTTCTTCCCAGCATCAACCACAGGCTGAATACAAACTTAATTACAAACACAAACAGAAATACAACCTCTGAGTCCTACAGAATCGCATGAACATAAACATAAGTAAGTAATGTTTCTGCTAGTCCACTATCCAAATATCAATCAATACAATGAGCACTGAAAAGGTTTTTAAGCTCCTGACTGCCAACCAATTTGTCTGTTTCATTCATTTTTGTAATCTAGTTGTTCTACTTTCCAGCTCCTAGCTCAACACCAAGCCTCTCTTCATCAAGATGTTTTTGAACAAAAAGGAAAATACGTCCCTGTATACCAAGGATCATCACTTACATACATACTGTGAATTATTAATGTCTACATTCTCCATCTGTAATGAGAATTATCCTGGTGACAAGGAGGCAGAACCGCACCCAATGAAGTGCCCAGCTGTCTCTGGGAAAACAAGCAGTGAACCATACCTCCCCAGGCTAAGCATGAGGCGAGCTACAATGCTCAAAACAAGCTTAGATCTGGGCAGACAAGCAGAAAAATGAAACCACACCCAGATGAGATGATGTCCATCCACACTTGACTGGGTCTCAGCTAGTTCAGGGGATTCTTGTCACTGTTTATTGGGGGACTGACAATTAGTGTGACCAAGATGAAGATGGCATTAATCCAAAATTAGAAAAACCAGCTTTGTAACTGGCAATTACAATGATTAAAGAGACTAAAAGTTGTATGCAGAAACTACAAAATCTCAAAAAAAAATTACTATCATAAGACTCTAATAGCTGAAAAATGTGTTAAAACTGGTTGGTACCAGAAGTGAAAGATAATCCAAATAAGAATGTAAACATCTTTAAGAGCAGTGTCTGGA